TTGGCAGGTAGCTAGGTTGTCTGAAAAACATCTCACCAAGTGACCTGCCCAGCAGAGACCCCAGGCAATTGCTGCCTCCACTATCGGGTATAACTGAAATAAGGCTGATGTTTGGAGAAGCTTGGTAGGGACTTGACTTCATTAGGTCAAGAAACTCAGATCTATTGATTGCAACAGATGGCTGCGAAACCAGTATTAGCCACAGCATCTGACCAGAGCGTTGGGGAATTGTTGGAAATCAGGGGAATAACTTGGCTTTCCCGTTCCATGTCATGAGACCACATCAGTCACCACATCAGTAAGTCAGACGTTGCTTGTGGGTCTAACTTAATGCAGGAATTATCTGAGGGATTGTTAGGGAACAAACAGAGTAGTCTGGAAAATGAAGGATCTACCTTGTGGGATGATCCTCATGGCAAAATTGAGTTAACCAAGCAGAGACTGTAGTTCTTTGCGGTTACAAGAACCTAATTGCAGGTAGAGGTCAATGTTTGATATAATGAATCCAATCTTATCATGAGGAAGACAGGACTGCTTGTTGACAGAGTCTAGTTGAATAACCAGAAAATGTATTACCATGTCTTTGGGGAGAACAGTATACCCAGTGATTCAAAAAGACTGATTGCTGCTGTGAGACTACTACGGGGATGAGAGTTGTCTTCAATTGTGAGGAAGTCATCTAAATAGTGGATATAAGTCGGGCATCTGCACACATTACGTAGTAACTATCACAAGGTTCCACAAATATATTGAATATCTTGGGGCTACTCTTGGAACTGAACATGAGCCAGGAGAAAATAATACAAACCCCCCGCCACTTAATTCCATTGCAGATGCCAAAGTTAGGGGTGGATAGCAAGTAGTTTAAACGCATCGATAATATAAGTTTTACTGAGCCATGCACCCACTTCAGCAACAAAAATGGCCCAGATGGTGTTGTTAATGGTGGAGTATTGTTAGGAGAATTCTTCTGAGGGTATGAGGGATATAAGATTAGGAAACATGGAGGAATGTGGTACTGATAGGTCAAAGATCAACCTGTCTTCATGTGAAGATTTACCAGTGACTATACAATAGGATTTGTCCTCCAGGAGGGGTTCTAAAGGAGGGGTCCTAAAAGGCCTGAAAACAAATCCCTTTTCTAACCTAATCTTGATTTGTTTATCAATCGATTCTGTATCTGCTAGCGCAGTCTGCAAATTATTGCATTCCAGCGTACCAGATGGCAAGTGTATGAAACCCCTATGATAACCCACCAATAAGTTAGTTAACCAAGTGTTGTGAGGGGTGGTATCATAATAGTTCAGCAAAATACATATCATTAATACATGTGAGGTAGGATTTAGGGAACATTTTATTAGGGCACATGGATTTGGCATAAGCCCAGAAACAGTAGCAAACATGCGACAACCTGCAAGAACAGAAACCACAAGTACCAGCATTGGAATTTATTGCAACTTTGGGACTTGCATAGAAAGGCAATGCCCCAACCTAGCTTATCCTTAATTACCTTATCAGATTTCAAAGATGTGTAAGGAACCGAGTGGCCTTGTGAAACTTCTGCCATGTTAGGCCATAAGTTTGTTGATCGTGACTGCACAAGCCGAGATCTGAGACCTGCAAAGTGTCTGCAAAATAACTCCGTATCTGTTCTATTCCAATTCATATTGAAGTTAAACTAAATGAGAACTGCAGCCACTTTTACTGAAAATGAACGTTGGTAATCATTGAAGGCCATACCACCGTATTTGTGCCCCAGATCCACCAGCTTGTGCATATACATGTCCAGTTCCTCTCATTTCTCTGGATAGACAGAGCAATACACATCCCTATCAGTACTATTACTATTAGTGGAAAATCTAATTGGTACTGGCAGAATAGCTACTGCCAAGTGGTGCAAAATTCAACTAAAAGGGTGACAGGTGAGGACCTGCTAGTTGCCAAGTGGCTTGAGAGGCTCTAACTATGCATTGACCAGAGAGAATTTTGTGGCCACTGAGCTTTTTTGGCAGTGTGGCGGTATCTTGGTGAAAATTAAAGCAGCAGATAGTATGGGAGTGAGAGGTGAGGTCCTCTCTATGCAACCTATGCGTATACCTTGCAGTATGAGGATGGGTGTTGGCCTCACAGGACCACTAGCCTATGGCATAGAGGCTGGCAAATATACTCTATTGGACACCTGGAGCCCTAAAAGCATCAGCTAATAGGGACTATGAAATTTAAGTAACATGTAAATGTTGTACCTGAGACCGTAAGAATCTGAAATTTTGATACACAGCAGAAGTAGTAAGGAGTAGTAAGGTACAGTAACCTAAAGGCAAATAACCTAGGATAGTATCTAAAAATGTAAAAATACGTGTGGGCCAGATCGTGGACCCACGTAATTAAAAGTAACCTACTTGAATTGCTACATACGAGGTAAAAATGGCAATTCTTGCCACGAAATGATGAGTAACATTGTGACTTGAAAAAGTCTGGACAGATAGTGTCACCTAAATAAAGTGAACCATGACCATAAAACAACTGAGGAGGCTTTAAGGTTATAGCATAATTACTGAACAAAATGGGACAAACCTAGAAGTGACAACTTTGATGAGCTGCAAAAAGACAGGATCAAATGCCCCAGTTCATATAACAACACAAACCAAATAGCAGGTTTCAGCATTAAATATTAAATATAACTTCAACCTCCTGCTAAGATAATGCTACAACACACAAAATTTAAAATTAAACTGCAATATCATATTTAACCAGTAGGGTTAACTAGGAATAGTCAAAATATATACAACCAATTAATTTCAATTTGGGTAGCCTCTGGACTTAGAATTGAAAGACAATCGGAAGTAATCGCGCAAACACCCTCTACTTTAAACAGGTGTTTGTGCTATTCTGCTATGTTTAACCCAAACAGTTTGTAGGAAATGATACGAACGCCTAAAAAAACATGTATTGGCTGGTATATGAGAAGTGAGCCGAAAGTGGGCCCCTATTCGTGCAAGTGAAAGACCTGAAAGCACCATTAGCAATGAAAGTATGTGTGAGCCTGTACAAAAACAGCCAAACAGATGCGAAAACGTACGAAATAGTAAGTAGTGGAATAGATCCAAACCAGGATGACTCCAAACGATGCAACGGCTTGGGCATTAACTTACGGTTTGCTTCCAGGTCAGTCTTCGACAAAGCTGAAGATGGAAGCAGGCTGGAAGCGTTCAGTAACCAGTCAGGTAAGTAGTGTCACGTATTCATCCGCATATAAAAATGTGGTTAATGGCAGGGAATGTGGTCCGGACAGGAAAAGTTGTGCCGAGCGGCATTACCGTCCTGACAGGAAAAGCTGTTCTGAGCAGCAATCATGCACATGGAAACCTTGTAATTGTTTTTGGGGCCAAAGGCCGGTCATGGCCAATCAGATCCACAGGAGGGTTTGTGCTGAGCAGCATCATACCCATGGAAATCTGGTAATTGCTTTTGGGTTCAAAGGCTGGCTACAGCCAATCAGATCCACTGGAGGGGTATTTAAACCCAATTCTCCTTTTGCTCATTGCCCTGTCGTGGTTTCATCCTGATGGTAATCCGAGAGTGCGTTCCTCATCTTGATTTTCTGGTATTTGACTTTGGCTTCGTTTTGACTTCCCTGAATTCTGGTATCCTTTACTTTTGGCTTTCCCTCATTGTTGTGTCTGATTCTGTGTTCTTGACCTCGGAAACTATTTTGACTATTCTTGGATACGTTAAGTCCGGCCATTCCAAGGTCCGGTTACACCTTATTCTTAGTCCTAGGTGTGATACAGTTCTGCGTGCTGGATCAACTTGAAATCCTGACATTACGACATGGCCATATATCCTGCAGAATTATGTCAGCACATAGCAGCTTATGAGAGAAAGCTAGAGGAGAATGATCACTGTATGGATCAATTTGCCCAGGCTTTTAGCACGCTCCTTACTAGGATGGCTCATTTACAACCTGAGGCTTCTCCAATTATGTAACCACTACCTAATGTACCTAATGTACCTCCACCTATAGTATACAAGGCACCTACGATCTCCTTATCTCCCCCCTCATATTTTTCTGGTAATATCCAGGAAGTAGGTGATTTCTCAAGCAGATTGAGTACCACTTTGAGGCCTCACCTGGTTCCTTTCCTTCAGATAGAGCTAAGATTGGGTATCTTATGAACCAACTTAATGGTAAGGCCTTAACTTGGGCTAATCCATTATGGGAAAGTAATAGGAGTGTCGCTCATTGTTACCAGGAATTCCTTGCAGAATTCAAAATGACGTTTGAACCATTAGGCAAGGAGGAAGACGCCTCCACTGCCTTAATGCATATCACACAAGGAAACCGGTCTATCTCAGATTATGCCATAGAATTTCAGACTTTGGAATCTGAGGTATACTGGACTAATAACGGATTAATCGCTGCTTTTAAAAAAGGATTATCTGTGAATAAATTCTTGACGAAATTGCTGCCAAAGACCTACCTAAGGGGTTAAATGACTCTATTACGTATGTGATGCAGATTGATAATAGACTCAAGACCAGGGAAATTGCTAGAAACAGAACTAGATGTTTGACTATGTCACTAGCACCTCGATTCTCAGAATCTGTTGTCTCTGGCCTTCCGACGCTCTATGAACCAGATCCTATGCAGTTAGGGGTTACTGGACTGTCTAAGGCAGCGAAACAGTATAGGAGAAAAGAGGGTCTTTGCTTATATTTTGGCAAAAAAAGACACATGTGAGATGCTTGTCCTATACGTCCAGAAAAAGAACCTTAAGGGACAGGTCTCAGGTGTAATGGATACGTCCTTAAGCAATTCCCGAAGTAGATTTCTCCTTGACATTTCCGCATTTTGCAATGAGAAGAACTTTTCATGCAAAGCCCTGGTTGACTCATGTGTGGCTGGTAACTTTATTAAATTATATTTTGTTAAGAAACACACTATACGGGGCATGTGACCGGTCGCATAGCTGGTGAGACCTGGTTACCACAATTATCAGGTCCCAATGGAGAATAAAAAGAAAACTAGAGCCACTCAAGACTATCTGGAGCAGGGCTCCAGCAAAAAATCCAGTGATCTGGATCGGTATTTACAAGAAAAAGTTAAAGCCTTGGCACACAATGAGGATAGCAATATGGCGGTGGCCTCGCAAGACTCTGAATCACCTCCTCACAGTCCGGCGTTCTCGGATCAGTCGACCATAACAAGAGACTCTGAGATAAAGGAGCTGCTGCAAAATATGCCCTCCATATGAGACCTCTCATCTATGCTAGCATACCTGGAGGAATCGATGTAAGAGCAGATTTCCAGTATTACCAGAGGCGTACGCCACGCGGGGCAAAGAGTGGGAGAGTTGGAAGACGAAAATCTCCGCACCACGTCGGCGATTAAAGCTCTGGAAACAAGGCAAGATGGAATTGAACATAAATTTCTTACAATTGCCAGAAATTTGGAAGATTTGGACAACAGAAGTCGGCAGAACAATTGGCGCATGAGAGGCCTTCTGGAGGCCAGGAAGCCTCGGAAGATTTACAAGCCAAATTCCAGGCACTGTTCAATAACATTCTCCATAGGCCTACAGACCCGCCGGTTTTGTTTGAAAGGACCCACAGGGCATTGCGGGCCAAAGGCATACTACAATACAAGCCGAGGGATGTCATTTGTCAACTCTGCAAGGACTACCCAGCTATGAGACAAGGTAATCTGCAACTCCAAATATTTCCAGACCTGGCATAGTCCACTCTACAAGTACGCAGAGCCCTATGCCCCATCACAGGACTTCTACAGGAGCGGAATATTAAATGCCGCTGGGGATACCTGTCACGATTCCAGAACCTAACACGCTAACAGGTCACAGAGAGGAAGGATGCTATACCGGTCCTTAGAGTGGCCGGGCTAAGCACACTAAGAATGGTCAGGAGACAAGCCAAGTAAAGGGAGCCATAAAACGGGAGAACGAGAAACAAGCCGAGGTCAAAGGAGTGGAGAAGACAGGATAATCGGAATAACAAGCCAAATAAACGGAAACCAGAGAGCAACACGAGAGAACAGCACTACAGGTATCACAAGACCACAACAGGGCACTGAGGGACAGGAAAGGTAAGTATAAATACCCTTGGTTTAATTCTGATTGGATAACTTCCAATCAGAATTAACAATCACACGTGGGGGATATCTATACCTCCCACTGTGATTGTGGTACTGTTTCTTTAACGCCGGGTCACTCATGTGACCCCGGCGTTTGCATAATTTAGTGACCTCCCAGCGTTATACATGCAGCGTTATACATGCTGACGCTGGGGGGCGTGGAGGACGCGAGCGGCGAGCGGCAGAGAGGAGACAGGTGAGACGAGGGGAGACCCCGGGCGGCGACGGACTGAGGGTGAGTGCTGCAAGTGGCGTGCAGCCTCCCCTCCTAGCCGCCCGCGGATCCCCGACAATACCCGTTTTCGCTGATGGTAACGAAAGACGGGAACACATAGATCATGCGGTCGGCGGTGGACGCCCCTGAATTTCTCCGCCAACTTGGCCTACCCCAACTGAATTTACCGAACTGGTACCTGGAGACGCCTCAGCAAGCAACAGAGACAGCGGAGAAGATCACCAACTGGTTCGAAGAGACCCACTCCCAGACAGGCCTCACAGCTACCTAGCATTAGACTGAGACAAGAGACCCCACTAACCTAAGCCAAAGACAGTACATATTGGGAGTATGCCGCAACGCAAACAGCCTGGAGGCCTGGACTGATATGTCAGACACATATTACTTGAGGGGTATTGTATTAATAGGGAAGAGGGTAACAACGATGGGCCCAATAGAGTGATATTACACCTAGTTCAATGCTCCCTTAATGCCCCTACCACTTCTCTTCCCTTTCTCTACCCCACCTACCTGAAGCACTTTACTACAATTCTTAAGCCCTTGCCAGATAAGGCAATACCCCTAATTTACATGGGGAGAATGGGCCATGTGGGGCATGATCAGCAAGAGTACTATGCAATTACGCGAGATACCATGAAGGTAGTGCCCAACTCATACACCCCCCCTCCTTCTCCTACACCAGAGTAATACACCATTATAGGTAGAGGGGTGATGGACTGTCATGGTCGCCACAGTGTGTAGAGGGGAGAGGGGACGACAGACACAAAATTACCGATTGATACATCTTAGGATGATTTGTTATAATTACTTTGTTGTATATATGTGACTTGAATTCTAGATCTCTCAGGGACCCCACAGAAAGAGGTATCAAATGTACTGAGAAAAATACCTACCCAAGGGCCCTGAGAAGACCATAATAGCTCACAACAATGTGACCTTCCATGCCACCTATATTAAGCCAAGGTAGCCGTGTTATACTCCAAATTATTTCTATTTTCATATAAATCCAGCGTCGGGAGCGCTGATGCGCGAAAAGACTTGTCACACACGCGCTATAGTACAATACAGCTGATCCTTTGCGCAGTGAGACACCATCAAAATTAGACTATAGTGTTTTTACTAACAACACTTCCCCCTCCCCACCCAACTTTGTTGGGACAGAGCGGTGTAACAACCTTAACATTTTGTATCACAAACAAGAGTATTCCCCCGCACCCACTTTGCCGACTGACAGGGAGGACACCGGGTCCTCCCTTATTGACGCAGTTGCATCTTTATATATTGCTACAGATAGCAATCTTTTAAGTTCATTATAGTAGTTTGTTATCTCTTCATTTTTTGCTATTTCCCTTGTTTCACCATTGATTCATCCCTATACAGGTCCACTTAGAAAACTCCCCATATGTTCCATTGGACAGTATATGGAGCATCCAAGGACAAATATCACTACTAGACATAACACAAATGTCCACACATACCCTGGCCTAGAGGTTTCTGTTCTTCCAAATGACACACTTTCTCAAATCCCTTAAGATACCTGAGTGACCTCTCAGAAACGCTACCAATATTTGAGCAACTATGCTCGAGCACAACACCAGTGTCTAAAGCAATATCCAAATGCCTTAACACACACAGTGGGCTTCCATGGTTCACGCGTAAATGGGGACAATACTTGAGCTGTGCACTGAGCGAAAGAGAATTGGAGTTGACCTTCCGCAGGACCTTCTATGCTCATACCAGTGTCTCCCTTCATGAGACCAATTACAAGCTCCTTTCGACATGGTATTGAACCCCACAAGATATACACAGGTTTCACCCAGGTACATTGCGGAGGAGGATATGGGGATATTGGCCACATGTGGTTGCACTGCGAGAATATAAGACCCTTCTGGTACATGGTCAACGCCAAAGTGGGGGAAATCACAGGTCATATACTTCCCTGCGAAATAGACACAATGCTACTTGTTAACATAGATATACCCTATACAGAAATTGAATTACTCCCTTCTATTCTTTATGTTAGCAGCTGCAAAATCAGTGATAGCGATTAATTGGAAGACTACAAACCAGGTTGGGTACCGAGACTAGGCTGCCAAAGTGGAACACTTTCGAGTTCTGGAAGAACTCAGATGGGCATCGTTAGGGAGGAATACACAGTATACCGACATCTGGAAACCGTGGAACACATACATTGGGGGAAAGCAAGGGAAAAGTCTGTCTTAATCTGAGATTACTTCTCTGTCTATGTGCCCTTTTACCAACTAGATAACAAATGTCTGCCTCTCTTAACACAAATACAAGCACACGAAGGAGGAGTATTTAGGGTTGTATGATCCGAATTGGTCTGCTAATTTGTCTAATCAATCTAATTTGTCTAGTTCATCACAAAATTATATTGTTTTACTGCATAAATATAAGATTACGTTATGATATTCATTAAAAGTATATAATTTTTCTTCCCACCCTCTTCTCCTTGTTCCTTCCCCCCACCCCCCATTAAACCATTTATGGAGTACCGACATGGAACAACAATGTGAAATAAGATATAATGTACAATGTGATTCCATTGCTCTATTAAGCCTTTGTATTTATGACAGATACCCTTTCTGTTATTTCTTGTTATTCCTAAAACTTTTCCATAAAAATAAATTAAATATAAAAAAAGAAAGAAACACACTATACCAGTCAAGGAGAGATCATCACCTCTAGCGGTCTAAACCATTGATTACCCATGAGACCTTGCCTATTTGCATAATGATAGGAGCTTTGCATAAGGAAGACATTACCTTCCAGATAATTGCTTCCCCTTCTTGTCCCATCATATTAGGTTTCCCTTGGCTACTCAAGCATAACCCTCATATTGACTGGACTAAAGGGAAAATACTGGAATGGGGTAAAGTTTCACATTACTAAACAAGTGGGTGTAATGGATCACCTGGCACCCTGACTGGGTACCTACGTTGACGGACGCTTCCTAGCCGACGCCGAGGACCATAAGCACAGCACCAGACACCACAACCACCGCAGACCACACAACCATAGCTTAACTGGAGTCTCGCCATCTTCCTTCCACCCTGGATCATTCTCTGATATCCAGGACCGTGTGGGAAAGACCTCTCCTCCAGGAAAGCATATCAGGAACAGCTCTTAAAAGAGCTAAGTGATTAGAGCCCAGGGGAGTATACAAAGTATAGCAATCCCCAGTGTGACTATAGCAGTTCCCTACAAACACGAGACAAGGCTACGTATTGATCTGAGAGTTTAATGAACAGCTTGGTCTTTTATCAAAGTTTTCCCACACGGTTACCACCCAAATATATCACCCATATTTTTGGGTACTTCAAGAGGTCCACATGGGTTGTAACCTTGTGGGGCACCAAAAACTACATTCCACAGCCAATAGTGTACAGTCACAAAGTTAAACACTCCCATTCATTATAGGAAATTCTTCCCTTCTGCTTGGGAGATGATTGAGTAAGATACTGTAATTAACTCAATTATCCCCAAACAGAAAAAAAATGTTTTCACAAAGTACAAAAAACACCCCAAAACACCACATATCCCCGGATATGTTATATCCTCGGATAGCCCTGATCTGGGTATAGGGGCCATAATCACAAGCAAAAGGCTAGCCATTAGTCCTCTCCAAGAACCAGTGTCCAAGAACCCCATCCCCACAAGAAAGTAAGATCATAGATGAGTACATCAAAGAATCATTAAGAAAAGGCCATATACCTAAATCATCCTCACCTGCTGGAGCAGGATTCTTTTTTGTAGCTAAAAAAGATGGAGAGTTACGTCCTTGCATTGA